TCAAGCTTTGGTACTGAGATATGCTAGTTTAATAAAAATAAGCTAGTGAGGGGCGCCTGGCTGGCTCATTCAAGAGAGCACGCGACTCTTGATCTCAGGGTTATGGATTCAAGCCCCACATTGTGCATGGAGCCTACTTAAGAAAAAGAAAGAAAAATAAACTAGTGAGATATCAATCTTTCCCTACAACCTAGAACAATTTAAGTCACATTGGAATAACCTAGTTATTTTTAAGATCAATAAAACTCAGCTGTACAAACGGACCACCTCCTGGACCTTCTGCATTTTTGTTTTGTTTGCTTTAAATTAGTAACATACACGCATGACACCAAATTTGGAAGACAGAGAAGTACACCATGAACATTTTCCCTTCCTTTTCTTCCCTAGCCCCTCAATCTTCCCTGGAAGCCAAAGCATCATCCTTTCATGTGTATTCTTCCTGACATACTCTATGCATTTACAAACATATTTAATTTTTTTATCTAAAGAGTAGCATATTTCATACACTGTTCTATACCTTGATTTTCCCACATCACCACATACCTTGGAAATCTTTCCTTGTCGAGCTGGGTTCTTCTTTCTAATGGGCATGACATTCCATTTGGTAGGTATGCCATCACTTGGTGAACATTTAGATTGTCAACTAGCTTTCGGTATGATGAACAGTGTATCTGTGGGAGAAATGAACAGTGGAATTGTTTGCATTTTTAATGTTAACTGGTTTTGTCAAACTGTTTTCCAGAGGAATTGTACCAACACTCCCAGCAGCCGTGTGGGCAGATGCCTGGTTCCCCAAACCCCACTGACATGGTGAGTTTAAAAAACCTTTGGGTCTTGGGGCGCCTGGGTGGCTCAGTGGGTTGAGTGTCTGCCTTCGGCTCAGGTCATGATCTCAGGGTCCTGGGATCGAGTCTCGCATGGGGCTCCTTGCTCAGCAGGAAGCCTGCTTCTCCCTCTCCCTCCTGCTCATATGCTCGCTCACTCTCTCTCTCTCAAATAAATAAATAAAAAGCCTTTTGGTCTTTGACAGCCTAATAGATTAAATATTGTTTTACGGTCATTTTAACTTGTACTTCTCCTATTATAACTGAGGATGAGCATCTTTCTATATGTTTAAGAGCTTTTTGCATTTTTGATATCAACTGTTCACATATTTTGTCCATTTTGTGACTGTGTTGACTTTTTATTGTTTATTTGTAAGAGCTGGTAATATATTCAGAAAACTAGCCCCTCGCTGCCTTCTGTGTTGCCAACAATCTCAGCTAATCGCCCTTTGACTTTGTAACTTTTTCTCCATGCAGCTTTATTATATATTTTTGTTGTTAAATCTTTTCTCCTACAGCTCCTGGGTCATACTTTAAAAAATTTTTTTTAAATATTTTATTTATTTATTGGTCAGAGTGAGAGAGCACAAGCAGGGGGAGCAGCAGAGGGAGAGGGAGAAGCAGGTTCTCCACTGAGCAGGGAGCCCAACGCAGGGCTTGATCCCAGGACCCTGAGATCATGACCTGAGCAAAAGGCAGCTGCCTAACCGACTGAGCCACCCAGGGGCCCCCTGTGTCATACTTTTAAAGGGCTCCTCACTCTGAGATTATGGGAGAATTATTCCCTGTTTTCTTTTAATTCTTCTATTATTTCAATTTTTGCAATGAACTCTCAAATCACCTGGAACTCATTTACTTTAAGGACTGAAATAAAGATCTGATTCTAATTTTCCATATGCCCATCCATTTGCTAACACATTATTTGCTGAATATTCTTTCCTCCATGGAATAAACTACGCTTTTATCATATACTGAATTCCTTCAAGTATTTGGGCTTTCTGTTCAGTTCTTTTGAACTGTCTGTTCATATACCAGCTCCACACTATTTTAACTATTGTGGATAATCTACCCACATTATTTTCTTTTTCTAGAACTTGCCTAGATATTCTCACTTCTAAGTAAACTTCATATGAAGTTTCATATGTAGAATCAGCTTATCTACTTCCAAATATATCCTCCTTTAACTATCTATATGTGATCGTCTCTGATTTTAAGTCTGCAGATTTTCTATCCTCTTGGACGACTTTAGTAGATTCATCTGTTGCTGGATTGCCATCCATCTCCTCCGGCTTTTAAATTTTGTTGTCCTCGAGTTGCAAATAACTTTCCTTATAATTCTCCCATATCTATCTATAATTTGCTCATTAAATAGGTTGAACGTGGTAGAGAACAATCAAGAAATAGCTTTCTTTGTCTCCCTCTGTTACAAAAGTCCAAAAATAGACTTTTTTCAGTCTCTTTCCCACACCCCTTGAAAGTGTCTTGGGTGTGTGTATCGCTAAGTGGTCATTTAAGTTTTACCCACCATCTCATTTTCAGCTGTGAAATGCCCAGTCCAGCCCTAACCCAAACCTCATCCCCAAGCATTCGGAGCACCCCCTGCCCCAGGTTGCCCTTGCTGGGGTCTGAGGGGCTGCACTGGGCGAGAAGGCTGTTCCGTCCCTATTCTTCCTCACTCTTTCTCTCCCTGTCCCCTCACTGTGTTTCTCTGTGCTCCTCCAGGGTTGATGCAGAGGAGGGAGAGACATAAAGGAGAGGGGCCCGCGGTCATACGTGACCAGTGCTGTGGTGGGGTTAGGGTGCTCTTCAGTGGGCATCCAAACACCGGCTCTTCCATGCGGCCTGCTGCCAGTGCCCCTGAGACCCCACGGGACGCACCCCGCCCCAGCGGTCCCTCGGGAGGAGGAGGCACTCCCTGCGATGGTTGCCCCCAGCTCTGCCCAGAGCGCACCTGAGCACCCACAGCCTTTCTGCGTCGCCCCACCATGCACTCGTTCCCTGCAGGGTCATCCCTGGATGTCTCAAGCCCGAGCAGGAGCCTGTAAACCCGCGCCGGGCCTTGAGTTTTCGGAGGCTCTGCTGCCCCGGCTGATGCCCCCGCCATCACGGAAGCTCACTCCTTCCATGGAGTCCTCCAGGCTTGCAGGTTCTTGGACATCCCTGCCCCACCAGACAACCAGGTGCAGCCTGACCCACAGATGCACGGGGCAGCTCCAGCCCCGGTTCTCTGCCTCCAGGCTGTTCCTGCCAAGTAAGGCATGTTGGCTCCCAAATTTCCGAGGACGCATCCAGAGTCTTCTCTTGAGCTCTCCTGTGTCCCACTCGGAGGGTAGCTCAGGGTGGGCCCAGGAGTCCCTGGGGTTCGGCCACCACCCAGCCAGGTAGTGGGATACCTCCCAAGGGAAAAAAGCCAATCCTGAAAGGTTAATACCGCATGATTCCGCTTATGTAACCTTGGCAACGTGACAAGATGAGAGTGCTGAGAACAGACCTGCGGCCGCCACAGTTGGAGACGTGGGGAAGTATGACTCAGTTGCTCTCACAGAGCTGTGTCCTGACTGGGGGGTCATGGCTACTTTAATCTACACATGTGGTAACTTTTCTAGAACTCTACACCGAAGGCAAACAGATCAAAGAATGCATTTAAAACTGGTGAAACCAGGGTGCCTGGGTGGCTCAGTCGGTTAAGCGTCTGCCTTCCGCTCAGGTCATGATCCTGGGGTCCTGGGATCGAGTCCCGCATCAGACTCCCTTCTCAGTGGGGAGCCTGCTTCTCCCTTTCCCTCTGCTGCTCCCCCTGCTTGTGCTCTCTCTCTCTCTAATAAAATCTTTTTAAAAATTTAAAAACTGGTGAAACCCCCGGAAGGGCCTGTGGTTTAGTTAATACTATTATACCAATGTCAATGTTCTGGTTTTGAGAATTCTACTACAGTCCTGTATGATGTCACTGTCAGGAGAGCGAACTCTTTGTACTATTTTTGCAACTTTTCCTTTTTTTTTTTTTTTTTAAAGATTTCATTCATTTGAGAGGGGGAGAACAAGCAGGGGGAGCGACAGGCAGAAGGAGAGGGAGAAGCAGACTCCCTGCTGAGCAGGGAGCCCGATGCGGGGCTCGATCCCAGGACCCCGGGATCATGACCGAAGGCAGACGCTCAACCAACGGAGCCACCCAGGCGTCCTATTTTTGCGACTTCTATGTGAGTCTAAAATTATTTCAAAATAAAAACTTTGATTAAAAAAAAAGAGAGAACCCTACCAGGGTTCGAATTGGAATGGCATTAAAATTATCGGGAGAACTGACATTTTGATGAAACTGAGTCTTCCCACCCAATGGCAGCATGATTGTCCATGTGCTTAGGTCTTGCTTTCTGTCCTTCACTCAGTGACAAGGTCTTCTTCAAATACATTCAAGGCCTGGGGCGCCTGGGTGGCTCAGTTGGTTAAGCGACTGCCTTCTGCTCAGGTCATGATCCTGGAGTCCCGGGATCGAGTCCCGCATCGGGCTCCCTGCTCCGCGGGGAATCTGCTTCTCCCTCTGACCCTCCCCCCTCTCCTCTCATGAGCGCTCTCTCTCTCAAATAAATAAATAAAATCTTTAAAAAAAAAAAAAAATACATTCAAGGCCTATATTTCAGTCTTTGAAACTATTGTAGGTAAAATAGATTCCCATTTTCACGTTAATAGGTTTGTGTCATGGGATTGGTTTTTTCCTACATTTGTTGTTCTTTTCCTCGTCTTGAAGACCATCGCCCCAATGTTGTCCCTCCATTCCATCATCCAAAGCTTCCTTCCACCTTCCTGTTATTTACATTCATTCCCTGCTTTTCCCTTTGCACTCTGTTCTTCTCTGACGTCCATACTCCCTACCTCAGCCGTGCTTTATGTTTATGATATTTTAAGTTTACTCTTATAGCTTCAGTTTTCTCTGTGGTTTCTTCCTTTCTTTAGAAGTGTTATTTTTTTTTAAAGATTTTATTTTTTAAGTAATCTCTACACCCAACATAGGGCTCGAACTCACAACCCCGAGATCAAGAGTTGCATGTGATAACTTTTCTAGAACTCTACACCAAAGGCAAACAGATCAAAGAATGCTCTACAGACTGAGCCGGGCAGATGCCCCTAGAAGGGTTAAAGAAAAAAAACAAACAAACAAACCCTGCAATATCTTTTACTCTTTGCCATGTTCTTTTGTGTCATCCAGCTCTTATTTTATTTTTCTTGAGGAAAAACTATGCAGATAGGTTTTCCAGAAGTAAGACTTCTTTCAAATATAACTTCTACCTCTAGTTTTGTATCAGTTCCATGGTGGTTTTTGCCTCAAGCCCCTGCTAGTTGGGGTGGTTTTTTACGCAGTGATCGCTAACCAATACACCTGAGCATCTTACCGGCTTTTCCCGACAGCTCTGGGCTCTGCCTTTTCTTATCAGCCTAAGTTTACACGGCTTTTAAGCGATGGAAAAGAATTGAACTCAAATGTATGTAAAAAGGAAATGCTCTTTTCACAGTAACATAGGACTGCCCAAGGCCTCACTTAGCTTTCTCCATTCTGCTATGTTAAGATTGCTGAAAATCAGGCAATGTGAAATACATAAGGTTTCGCAAAAGAGTATATCCTGTGAAATTCTAGAATAGGCAAAACCAGTGAATAGCGAAAGAAAGCAGGTCATTCATTGGCTGCCTAGGCACAGGAAGCAGGGTAGACAGCAAAGGGGGGCGGGGTAAGGAAACTTTGGGCTGATGGAAATGCTCTGTATCTAGATTGGGTGGTAGTTACCTAGGTATTTACATTTGTCTAAAGTCATCTCTACTCTTTAAATGGGTATATTTTATTGTGTAGGAATTAGATCGCAATAAAGTTGATTTTTAAGATTTAAAAAAATGGGGGCGCCTGGGTGGCTCAGTTGTTAAGCATCTGCCTTCGGCTCAGGTCATGATCCCAGGGTCTTGGGATCGAGCTCTGCATGGGGGGGCTCTCTGCTCGGCGGGGAGCCTGCTTCTCCCTCTCCCACTCCCCCTGCTTGCGTTCCCTCTCTCGCTGTGTCTCTCTCTGTCAAATAAATAAAATCTTTAAAAAAAATGATTAAAAAAAAAACTTACATTGGCAAAGTTACGGAGAAAGGGAACCCTCCTGCACTGCTGGGGAGAAGCAAACTGATACAGCCACTCTGGAAAATAGTAAGAAGTTTCCTCAAAAAATTAAACATAGAACTGCCATGTGATCCGGCCATGCCATTTCTGGGCATGTAGGCAAAGGGAATGGAAACAGAGTATCAAAGAGACATCTGCCCTTCCATATCCATTGTAGCATTAATTCACAATAACCAAGATATGGAAACCACTGAAATGTCCCTCAGTGGGTGCATGGATAAAGATGTGGTGTGGGTATACAAGGCAACAGTGTCCAGCCATGAGAAAGAAGGAAATCCTACCATTTGCAACAACAGGGATGGACCTTGAGGGCATTATGCCAAGTGGATAAGCCAGAGAGACAGAGATACCGCACCATTCTAAACAGAATGTGGATCGGGGAAAAAAAAAAAAAGGTCAAATTCAGAGAAAGAGAGAGTACGATGGTGGAGCTGGGGAGTGCGGAAATCGGGAGCGGTTCACCGACTTGCACCTCTTAGTTGAATAAGGTCTGAGGATCTCAGGGTGACCACAGTTGCTTACATATTGTATAATTGGAATTTACCAAGAGAGCAGAACTTACGTGTTCTCACATACACGAGATGAATATGTGAAGCTATTAACTGGACGGGGGACCCCTTCCCAGGGTATATGTTTATCAAATCACAATGACGTACAGCTCTAATGTCTTATACCTCCACGCAGCTGAGGTTAAAAAAGCAAACCCTTGAACTCTAGAGAGTCTTCTGGACGCCAAGGAGAAAAACATTCAAAATGGTGGCAGCGCCCCGACGTCCATGGGCTCATTCCTCTCCCCAGGGTCTCGTGAGGGGTCTCACGGGAAGGTCCCCTCCCGCTCCCCGCCGGCTGAGCGGTTCTGCGGGAAGCACCGGCCGCCGCGCTAGCTGGCGGTGCCCAGGCTGGCCTCGCACACCCAGCGGTAGGCCCTCTGGCAGGCATCGTCGTTCCACTTGCCGTCGGGGTGGAAGTGCGCGCAGTCCTCGCCCCCGCCGAGCCCGTGCCCGTGCCAGTCGTCCGGCTGGCCTGGCTTCCAGTTCCTGCAGGGAGAGGACCACAGCCAGCTGGGACGCTCAGAGGGCACCCCGGGGGTCCGGGAACCAGGGGCTGAGGGCCAGAGCCTGGAGGAGCAAGAGTGCAAGGCCGCAGAAGGGCACAGAAAGCCAGGGCGCACTCACTTGAAGTTGGTCTCGTAGTCCGTCCCGTCCACCCATTTCCAGACTCCTTCAGGGTCACTGAGGCCCATCCAGGTGTATGAGCCGATATGGCCCTGCACAAAAGTCTGGGACGACAGAAGGGCAGGGGTGACGTCTCCCGAGCCCCGCCAGCTCCTCGCACTTGACGCGTCATGCCATCTGCTGAGGTCTGGGATGTTTATCTCAGTGCCCCCGCCCATCCAATCTCTGAGGGTGGCTCAGCCGCCGGGCGGTGTCAGGCTCCCCAGGTGATTCCAACCTGCAGCCAAGGCTGAGAACCCCGTCCTTAAATAGGACGCGTCGTGGGACCCGCGCACCAGCGGCGCTCACCTGCTCCTCTCTGGAGTTGATGACCACCAGGTGCGCGCTCTCCAGCTGGCAGTACCTGTCGGCGTCCTCCCAGGTCTTCCCAGAGCCCGAGAACCAGTAGCAGCTGCCCCCGTACTCCAGCCAGTTAGGGGGGCAGCAGGTATTTTGAGAGCCTGCGGGGCCAGGGGTGGAGAGGGTGTGAGACGCCGCGCGCTGGGACGAGCAGGAAATGGGGCCCAGCACCCGCACACCCCTCACCGTTGTTCTTGAGAGCGGCCAACTGGCACGTCAGGGATCTCAGGTCTCTGGCCAACTGCTGGACCCGAAGGAGGGTATCGGAATGACCTGGGACACACGCAGGTGGGCAGTGCAGCGAGTCCCCGGTAGCCCGAGGTCCCTGCGGGGGGCCGGCCCCCAGAAGCTCGGTGCCCTCCCACGCACGCCCCATCCCGGTGCAGGGGAGGCGGGGGAGCAGGGGGGGAGCGAACGGGGGAGCGGGAGGGGGAGCAGGGGGGACTGACCTGCTTTGAGCTCCTTCTGCTCCTGCTCCAGCTTGCTCTCCAGGGAAAACACCTTGTCGTTCAAGCTACGGGCTGCGGGGGAGGGCGCTCAGCACCCCGCGCTGCTCCCACCCCCACCTCTGCCCCGAAAGCCCTCGGCTCCTTCCACACCTGCTCCTGAAGGGTCTCTCACCTGCCTGCAACCCCTGCTTGTGATTTTCCACCTCGGCTTTCAGAGATGTTATCACTTCTTGCAAATGGCCACCTGGAGGACACGGGGACTTGGTGGGTGCTCGAGACTCAGCGCCCCCCTCCCCCGCGGCGCCCCTGTCCGGAACCCCTTCCGCGCCGGGCTCACCCTGGGATTTCAGTGCCTGGACCTGCGCCCCAGTGTTGGCAGTGAAGTTGCTGAAAGTTGCTCTCAGGGTCACCAGGTCCCTCCGACACTGGGAATCTGATGGGGATGGGACAAGCAGTGCTGGGATGTATCACGCCCTCTGTGAGCTGGTGCTGAGCAGGGCACCTGACCTGCCTTGTCTCTCTGGGTCCGCACGTGACCCAACCCAAAGGGACAGGCACTACTGTTACCCAGTATCCGGGATGAGGAAACGAAGTTCCCAGAGGTTAGGCCATTTGGCTACGTTATCCAGCTGATAAGTGACCGAGCTGGCAGCCACCCTACAGACCACTGTCCCTCGCGGCGACCCACCCGCCCGGCGCCCCATGCATTCTCTCCTCCCTGCCCATGCTGCGACCCTCACTCTGGGAGCCGATCACACAGATGCCGACCAGCAGGAGGAGGCTGAGGCCCAGGGAGAACAGGAGAGGCCGGGGGCCAGAGCACAGCCAGTGCAGGAAGGACAGAGGAGGAGGCAGCCCTGTGAGAGAAGACGGGGTCAGGGCAGGAGACTGGGAGAGGAGAGCCCCTGGGGCCTGTCGGGGAGGAGGGCTGGCGCAGGTGATGCTGGTGGGAGGCTGCCCCAGGACGCTGGGGGGCAGGGGACGCCCAGGCCTCTGGCCCCTCCTGGACCAGCACAAGTCCTCGGTCACATGGCCGCTCACACCTGCGGGGAAACACACGTACACAGGCACCCACGGAGTGGGGATGATGGTGATGCGCAAGGTCCCATCACAGTCGGGGAGGGGGCAGAGGGACCCAGACCGAGCTGGGGCAGCCAAGCCCTCCAAGGCTCCCACTCACCTGCACGGTCAGGGTCACGGGTGAGTTTCCTTCCAAACCCAGACGCTCCTCCCCCAGAGAATAGGAACCCAGGCCCCTTGTGGCGCTCCCTGTCCCCGTCCCTGTCTCTCTCAGGACCTTGAATCCTCTTCACACTGGGGTCCCCAGGGCCTGGGGCCGGACCGCCTCAGAATGGGGGACCCCCCACTACACACAGTGGGGGTGCAGATATGACAGCACAGCAGGAATGCTCTACGCAATGAGGAGGGGATCTAGGGAGGGAACGTTTTCCCTTCCACTTACCATTTCTAGACCGCTGGCTTTGCTTCTCACTCTCCAAGGGCTGGAATTTTTCATACTGCACTGACATGCTCAGACCGAGACGGGGGCCGTCAGAGCTGAAAGGCGGGCAGGGCCAGCTGCCAGGCGGAGGCCAGAGCTGGGCCCAAGGGGGAGGCTGGGGCTCCTTGGAGCCGAGGTCGGGACCGGAGTCAAAAGGAGAGACGAGGCTCGTGTTGAGGATGAGCCCAAGGTGGAGAGAGGCTTGGGGATGAGTGTACAGGTAGGGTTGGAAGTGGGGTCAGGACCGGTGTTGGGTGGGGGGCAGGTCGAGCTGGGAATTGAAGGTGGAGGTAAAGTGGGAGGACTGTGTCCTGGCCCCGAGGGGCATCTCCTGCTCAGGTGGGGTTGGGACTCCTATCGGAGCCGTGGATGGGGTTAGGCTCAGCCTGGCGCCAAAGCTGGAAACGAAGTCCAGGGTCAACTTTGGGTTGGGGCTGGAGTGAACGTTCAAGTTGACTCTGAAGTCAGAGCTGTGGTTGGGACTTAAGGGGGAACTGGCTTAGTATTAGGGTCAAGCCTGCGGCCGGGGTGGGGACTGGAATAGGGCTGAGTTTGTGAGTGAGGTTTGGCCGCCATACTTCAAGCCCAATCCAGTGAAGGGAATGGAGGCTGAAATCTGCACTTGGCCATTCAGTCCCCAAGCTGCCCCTTACATTTCCTCCCATTCACTCCCACCTGAGACCCACAGTCCCCGCTCTGGGCTCTCCCTGACATCCTCCCTGTTCCCTTGGTCTCCCCTAAGCACCCAGCCCCGTTACCTGCAGAATGTCCGAAGGCTGCAATTTTGGGGTTCCTTGTGCAGTAATGACCAAAACTGGAAAAACACGAAATCCTGGAGAGCGGAGGTGGGGACAGTGAGGGAGGAGTCACCTGTGACCAGAACCCAGCAGGCTGTCAGCTGGGATCTCACGTGTCCCCGTCTTCAGGCGGTGAAGTGCAGAAGGGATTGGAGCGGGGACTCAGGCAAAGATTGCGTGCGGTGGGGGGTGGGTACGGGGCAGCTCTGCTCTCCTCCTCCGGGGTGTATCTACTCCCTTTCCGCTCGTCTGGAGCCCCCCTGACTTCCTCATTTTTACCATTCTGGAGAAGGGAGCCAGGCCAGAAGGGACCAGAGGTGCAGTTTGCCTATCGCCTCCGCCCACACCCCCTTTCACTTCCTGCGTCTGAAGTTCCCAGAACTGTGTCCCCAGCACTGCACAGCTGGGTCCAGAGGAGCCCATTTCTCTGCTCTTGCTCAATCCCACTGAGTCCTGGCTCATGAGCTTCCCCGGGGGGCCTTGGCCACCATGGTCAGAGCAGGAGGGAAGAGGAGAGGGCAGAGTAGGGTTTCCTGGGTGGGAAAGGGAGGGAGGAGCCAGGAGAGGAAAAACTGATGAAAAATCAAACCTGTAACAGGGATGGGGCCAGACCCATGCCAGGCATTAACCATTCGGTTCCCACGAGAAGCCTGGGAGGCACTTTGGATGGTGGGCTGAGGCCCGGAACTGGGGTGTGGGCTGCCCAACTTCTCAGGCCTGCTGAGCTCAAGGGCCAGAATTCAAGCCCAGCACCCCCTGACACCCTGGCCTGGGAGCTCTGTACGAGAACCTTCTGCAAGAAAGGGAATCCACCGATTCCCATAACCTGCAAATCTCATTTAGGGGGCTGCCCAGAATTCACACACACAATCTTCTTCACAGGAAGGAACTTAAGTGTCTCCAAAGGTAGAGAAGGAAAGCAAATGCATCTTAGATTATATTTTCTATATAAATGGGATTATGTTCTACTTGCCTTTTTTTAAGATTTTATTTATTTGAGAGAGAAAGAGCAGGGGGGAGGGGCAGTGGGAGAGGAAGAAGCCGACTCCCCGCTGAGCAGGGAGCCCGATGCAGGACTCGATCCCAGGACCCTGAGATCATGACCTGAGCCAAAGTCAGACGCTTCACCGACTGAGCCACCCAGGCGCCCCTACTTGCTTTTTAATATTTGGTATTCGGATCGCGTTATTTGTCCCAGGTTGGGTTTTTGGAAGCCAACGCTGAGACTGAAGTTGGGGTGCAAGCTATGTTTTAGGACCGACACCTGAGAGAGGAATAGGGAAGGAGGAGGAGGGGGCAACGGGAGAAGGCACACAGCTGCACAGGCCCCACAAAGCTGCAGCCAACCCACAGGCGCTCTGGGCAATCAAGCTCTGTCTGTCCGAGCTGTCTGTCCGAGCTGTCGGCACCGGGCTGAGCTGGGGCCTTCATAACCCCACCTCGCTCAGGCACCGCGGGCCGGCCAGCCCCGCAGGGCCATGACCTCGGGGGGGGGGGTGGCTGTCTGCACAGGTCACACTCCCCACAACTGGGCCCCAAGTCCTTCCCAGAAAGAGGTAGAGGCGGGGGTCGGGGAGATCGTCCATGTCCGCAACAGTGTTGCATTGTACTCACGTGGTAATCGGGGCATACTTGCCATCTGTGCGTTGTTGGATCTTTCCCACAGAGAACATTCCCTCTGCTCACTCATTTACTCATCCATTCAGAAGGTACCTCCCGAGGGTCTACAACATGCCAGGCACTCTCCTCCGGAAGACGCACACTTCAGAAGCAAACAAACTGACAAAAAAAGGCCAGACCCTCACAGAATTTACATCTTGGCAGGTGACAGATTAAATAAATGAGTGAAATCTATATAATGTCACCTGGTGACATATGGAAGAAAATACAGCGGGGAAGTGAGGTAGGGTCAGTTTTTAATAAGGCCATCAAGAGTAGGGTGTCGGGATCGGCCTTACTGGGAAAGTAATGTCTGGGCAAAAGTCACAAGGAGCTCCAGGAGGAAGAGGGTTCCAGACGAAGGCACAGCAAGTGCAAAGGCCCTGGGGTGGAAGAATGTCTAGTGTGTACAAGGATCATCCATTTGCCAGAGATGCCAGAGATTTTACAGAGAAGTGAGCTAGAGAGGCGAGGAGTAGATGAGTCACAGAGGGAAAACGTGGAGCACCAATTCTTTAGGGCCCTCAGACTATAGTTAAGGATTTGTTTTTACTCTGAGTTAGAGGAGCAGACTGTGGAGGGGTTGGGGCAGAGGAGGGAATGAAAGAGAGGAGGGTGGAAACCGAGAGTCCTGATGAGGAGCTATGATGATATCCGGGTGACAGATATGCCTGGACATGGACACACACACACACACACACACACACACACTAGTTCTCCCAGTCCCCAAAATAAAGTAAACTTAGAGCATTTCCCGTAAATTGCTGACTCCTTAGGAAAAAAACAGCTTTATCCCTGAATTTTGCAATGCCCATGCCTAAAGATAAGTCACGACCTTTTGTGCCTGTGATAATTGTGTGTTTTGCCATCAGGAGCGGACCGATAAAAAACTGTTCACAGCAATCACAGTGCAGAGCTTTCCTCTGAACACCTCCTGTGGTTTTGCTCCGTAAGCCTGTCCACCCAAAGGCTGATTGCCTCGCGGCTACTTTGCAAGTAACCTTCTCTGCTCTCCTAAATGCTTTTGCCTCTCAGACTTCTTTCACGGTGGACAATCCCAGTCCTTTGTGGTCCTATCTTCACTGGGTCACTGCGATTTGCCGATCCTCACGGTCTCACGGGCTGCAGGCTCTGTCCTCTCCCCTCCCCATTGCGAAGCAGCCCATTTCCCTTCTTAATCAGCATCGATCAATCACCTCCAAAGCACAGTTACCTCTACCCCCTACCTAGTGGTGATTTTGAGGAGCCCAAATCAGGTAGGAGTCAAGTGGTATCTTCATATTTCAACAGGACCAAGGCTGCTTTCCCTTGGGGTGGGGGGGCAGTCCTTTCCTTGGGCACTAGGACTTCCAAAGTCCAATGATCCCATTGTGCGGACGAAGAGCAAATGCTCCTCCCGTGGATTGTTGGGCATCGGTGAGAGGAGACGCCACCCTCCCCTGTCCCTTGGCTGGGAGGTGGCTGTGGGGAAGACAGCATCATGCTGGCCGCGGATTGGAGGTGACTACCCCACGGCATGAGAGGTAGTAAACTAATACATTTACGGGCGCCTGGGTGGCTCAGTTGGTTGGGCGGCTGCCTTCGGCTCAGGTCATGATCCTGGAGTCCCGGGATCGAGTCCCGCATCGGGCTCCCTGCTCGGCAGGGAGTCTGCTTCTCCCTCTGACCCTCCCCTCTCTCATGTGCTCTCTCTCTCTCTCTCAAATAAATAAATAAAATCTTAAAAAAAAAAACTAATACATTTACCCCATTTCCAGCCCCCAAGCCCAGAGCCAGCCATCTGATGAGTGGTCTTTTCAGACACATTTCTGCTCGTATTTGTACACCTGTCAACATATATACACTGATGGGGTGGGTTGGTGTTTTCTTTTACACAGATTTTTCTCCATAATGTGTCTGCCTAAAAATGGGTCTTGAGGTTTTCCCACGCCACTGCCCACGGCCTCCAGAGCATACACGTGCCAGACCGTATCTAATGACCCCCTTGGCGATGCATTTTTGAGACGCAGCATCTTTGGCTTTTATAAACAATGCTGAAGTGAACAGGCTCATATATGCCTATTTGTGCTAAGAAGCAAATAACTGCTCTTGCTTAGGTATCTGGAAGTAAAATGAGTGGAAACATGGATCTTAACATTTAAAAGTGTATGCACACTGCCAAGGGGCCCTAAAAAGACATCATCAGTTCATCTCCCCACCGTGTATGGGGATATTCATTTATCCTTTGCAGACAAACCTGTACATTTTTGCTAATATGATGTTCAAGAAATATCTTCTGTCTCATTTCAGTTAACACCTACCTGATGACTGGTTTGGTAGAAACAAAGCTTCGCGTTATAGTTTAGTTTTAGAAACTGTCAGAGACACTTTTATTTAATTAAAGTTTACTATGAGCAACCACAACTGGGAGACAATTGTGTAACAGCTATTCTAAAACAGTACACATGGGGGGCCCCTGGGGGGCTCAGTCGGTGAAGGGTCTGCCTTCGGCTCAGGTCGTGATCCCAGAGTTCTGGGATCAAGCCCCGCATCCGGCTCCCTGCTCTGCGGGAAGCCTGCTTCTCCCTCTGCCTCTGCCCCTCCCCCTGCTTGTGCTCTCTCTCTCTCAAATAAATAAAATCTTAAAAAAAAAAAAACAATAAGTACACTTCAAGAAAATGACTATTTCCCACATTGGCAATGCGTTATGACTTCCCACCATTATCGAAATATTTCTCACAAACCTTGATGTCCATACGAACAGAAAGATGGGCTTTCTACTTCACCTTTGCTTCAGGTGGATTTCCCTTTATAAAGGAAGGCTTCTGTTTCTGGCTTCACATTCTCCTTTTCTCAAAGATGGGACCTTGCATTATTCTGTTTCCATCCAAGAGGTGAGTTTCTCTTCCATGAATAGTGCTTTGTCAGTTTCCCTTCTGTTTCCAGAAGCTTTCCCATTTGGATGTACTCCTTTAAGTACACAATTACCCATCACTTATTTCCCTGTGTTTCACCTCTTCTCCTAGGTGATACACACTCCACCCCTCTTCATGATTTTTATCTGAAAGTCTCTTGTCACGTTTCACCTGCTCTATTTTTATTAGCGTTTATCTAGAATATATTTCCCTGTCTTGATTCGACATGTTTGTGTTGCTTTGTTTTAAACATAAGACCATGAAAAAAAGTAAAATAAATATAAATATATGACCATGGCTTATAAACAGCATGTCACTGGATTTCTTTAACCCAATCTAAGAGTTTCCATCATTTGTTGGAATTAAACCTAATTGCATTTATTATGACAACTGATGTATTTGGATTTAATCCTGCCATATAATTTCACCTTTTCAATCTACCATATTTTCTTTTTTTTTAAGATTTTATTTATTTATTTGACAGAGAGAGAGCGAGCACACAAGCAGGGGGAGTGGCAGGCAGAGGGAGAGGGAGAAGCAGGCTCCCTGCTCAGCGGGGAGCCCAATGCAGGACTCCATCCCAGGGTCCTGGGATCATGACCTGAGCTGAAGGCAGATGCTTAACCCACTGAGCCACCCAGGTGCCCCTCATTTGTTTTTAATAGACATGTTTAATCTCAAGCCTATCTTTTTTTTCTGTCGATATTCTTTTGTTTTCTCACATTTGCTGTGTGCGATCTCAATTTTGTACATTCTCTTCCATTTTGTTCCAATATATTTTTTTAAAGATTTTATTTTTAAGTAATCTCTTCACCCAATGTGGGACTCAAAATCACGAGGCGGAGATCAAGAGTCCCACGCCCCAGCAACGGAGCCAGCCAGGAGCCTCTGTTCCAATATTTTTTAATGATTACTGTTTACATTTAAATAATTAATCCATCCGGAGTTTATCATTTCTGCGTGGTGTGTGAGATGGAAATCTGGCTTGGTTTCTTTCCAAATGAAAAACTGATTTATAAACTATATTATGTTTTATGTTTTCTCCCAACGAATTGAAATAAGACTTGTGTTGAGTTCCTAACTATATTCATATATATTTCTGGGCTGGGAGTCTGTTCCAATGATTTAGTTTCTCTTCTTATGCTCATATCATACTGATTTGATTTCAACGGATTTAGAATAAGTTATCTGAAAGGAATCTATTCAAAACCCCCGACCCCCCAACCCAGCCACACTTGCAAACAACACTCACAGGGGTCTGCACTTGGCCCTAACCCTGTTTTCCCAGGTCCTGGCGCCCTACATTCTTGGAAAGTAGACACCAACTACAAAACATATTCTTCTCTAGCCTGACCACAACCCACACCCTGGACAAGCCCCGGGCAGAACCCCTTGACACCTGCCACCTCCTCTTCTACCTGGCCAAGAGTAGACCCCTTTCCCACATCCTCCACC